CGGCGTGGACCGACCCACAGCGAACGTGGACCGCTGTTGCAGGACGTATGGCTCATGACTCCGATCCTAAGACTTTAAGCTTGCTGCCAAATGCCAGTGCAGCATAGTATCCTTCAGGATATTACTTCAAGCGACGCGCCAGCCGCTGCCCCTGCGGGGTTGCCAACGCTGGAATCGATATTCACTCGATCGGAGAACTTGAGAGGCAGCGACAGCCGTTCCGCTCCGTGCCTGCGTGTTGTTCTGGCAGCCTTCGCCTCTATCAGCGCAGTTGTATTGCTCGTGCTTTTTTGTTCGCGCGTCTACGGCAGACGGGCACTCCAGAGCATTAGCAGGCGTAGGCTGGCCAGCCCTGAGGATAGTGATGAGGAAGTTGACGTTTGCGGGTTCTCTAGTGACGAAGACGAGGAGTCGCAGTACCGGAGACCACGTTTCAGTTTGCCTGCTGGAGAAGAGAAGCATCTTCCCATCAAAAAGAGACTGTTGACAAGAGCGGCGGAACCAGCCATCCGTGGTATTGCTTCTCCCCAGCGGCAAGANTCAAAAAGAGACTGTTGACAAGAGCGGCGGAACCAGCCATCCGTGGTATTGCTTCTCCCCAGCGGCAAGAGCAGCCGCGGGAGCAGGATGAAGGCCTTACAGCTGCGTTCCGTCCATCCCCACCTGAATCGACTTCAGGGCGAGAGCAGCTCGGCCTCTCCTCACTTCCGGCTCCCACACCACTGTCTTCAGCCCAACTGCGAGCTCCAGCAGAGCTCGATGCAGCAGCAGGAATGCTGAATCTCCGCCCTCAACAGCGTGCTGCTGGACGCCGTGCTTCAGGTACAAGGCGAAGCATCTTCGTGGAGTTGCGGAAGCTGCAGCGGCAGATGGGCTACTTGCAGCGGCGTATGTACCTGCTGCAGCGGCAGCAGCGGCAGCAGCGGCAGCTGCAGCTTAAGATGCGCCAGTTCCAGCAACAGATGTACCTACCGCAGCACCACCAGACGAAGCAGAAGCGGCGGACTGGCGAGTTCCAGCAACAGATGCACCTGCTGCAGCAGCAGCAGCAACGGCAACAGTGGCAGACGCCCAGGTATGGGCAACACCGGCAACAACAACAGGACCATTTCCAGCAGATGCAGGAACAGCATGATCTGTACCAAGAGCGTCAGCACATGTTTTGGGAGCAACGACAGCAGCATTATTTGCTCCAACCGCAGCAGCAGCCGGTAATTCAAGAACAGGTGCAGCGGCGAGCGCAGCAGCATTTGATGCAGCAACAGGAGCAGCAGCAGCTGTTCGAGGTGCCAGAGCCGGAGCATGTAACACGCGATCATGAACAGCATCAGAACATGCTACAGGACGAGCAGCAGGGGTCGTTGGAGGAGATGCGTAAACAGCAGCGCGATCAACGTAAGCCGTGTCGAGAACAACAAGAGGAACTGGAGCCACCCCCGAAAGAGCAGCGCCAGCTGTTGCAGCATGCGGATCCGCTCGCAGAAGAGTTGATGGTAGACGAATGGACTGAACCGGAGTCGCCGAGCTCTGAGGTGCCTCAGCCCAGCATCTCTCAACAGGCATTGCAGCCTCCTTCTGCTCCAGCAGCTTCAGGTCCCTCGATAAACGAATATTTCCGCATGCAGGTGACTCCTGGTTTCGTACTGGCTGCTCGTGACGCATCACGTGCTGCTTCTTCACGAGCGTCAAGAGATGAAGATGCTGCAGCTTTTGCAGCAGGAGCTGCAGTAGCAAGCGCACCAGGCACCTCGCCCAGTGCTGGGATGTCCTCTGCTGCATCGGCGAAAAACGTAGGCGTCACCCGCTCGGAAACACCGACACTGAGTAGTTTGTTGGTTCGCCAGAGAAGTGAAGGTGTAATAACAGCCTCAGCTGCTAGACGAGCAGCAGCAACTGCTATAAGAGCAGCGGCAGCTGGCGGAACAGCAGCAGGAGCTAGTGGAACAGTAGCAGAAGCTGGTGAAGCGGAAACAACAGTTGCTGGAACAGGAGCAGCAGCCGCAGGAAAAGGGGCAAAAGCTGCTGAAGCAGGAGCTTCAGCAATTTCTCATTTGCTGGAGACGCCACCGGCTACTATGCTGGAACACCCGTTCGTGCGTCTGCCCAAGCCAGTGCTACATACGTCTACGAGTTCAATTTCCGTTGACTTGGCGTATGCAGTGTCCCATCCGCATAGCATGCGGAGCATCGNTGGTACCAGAACTGATAGGGCGCTTGATGTACTATGAAGGGCAGGACCTCACGAAAGACTTCGCCTGTCGTGCAGTTGTGCGACTGGGGATTCGTTTCCTCGTGCTGGATGCTATTGTGTCCATCTTCTCAGTTCTCGAACAGACGCCAGAGGAAAAGCATTGGAAGCTCGTAGCAGATGCTGTTAGCCACGCCGTGCCGGATGCCATCCAAAAGTCCAACGTCTTAGAGCTGACCAATTTCTCCCTATCATTATGTCAGAAGCTCAGCAGTGCAATACAAATACTCAAGACGGGAAGAAGGCCGGTTGCTGCAGAACTCATCAGGATCAAGCAAATGCTGTTCTGCTCACCTCTTTCGCCGCGGCGTTTCAGGAATAACGATTTTGATGCCTGGAGGCGGCAATGCGACGGTCGCATCGATGGGCCGTAGTTTCCCCCAGCAGAGAAGCGGACATCACATGCGTTTTAACGGAAGCCGAAGGAAATATGAGAAAAAACACAAATTTAATTCAAGAAGGGCAAACGCGCCCTGTGCTGTGCCCGCTTGCATTCATCAACCATCGGGGGCTATTACAGCGACCACTTCTAATCTTCTTGGACTGTCGGGTACAAAATAACAACTATNCAACCATCGGGGGCTATTACAGCGACCACTTCTAATCTTCTTGGACTGTCGGGTACAAAATAACAACTATTAACAATTCCAGGCAAACTACGCCACAACAGATGTTGAATTCAAAAAACACCCTTTTTCCAGCTGGAGGCCTTCCGCACGAATATGGACGGAGCGAAAACGCCGCAGACAACTGAAATGAAGTAAACGAAGCTTGATGAGAGAGGCAACAAAGCTTTGATTGCCTTCAGTTTTATTGCGCTGAGCTGTATGGGTATCTGATACGGCCTGGCTGAAGGCGTCTCAGGAAATGACTGCAGGTCTTATCCCAGGTGCGACAACACCATGGCAAGGTGTTTGCGCACCCATCTCTGCGTTTACACGCTTTCTTGTGCCTAGACATTGGGACTTTTGCGAAGCATTTGGGTGGCGCCAATGATGCGTGATCCAGTGGGAAATGCTTCGTTCTGTAGATAACAGCAAACAGAATGGCTCACTTCATGCTATGGCCTGTCAGAAACATTGTCCGCTTGACGCTGGTAAAGGCATTTCCTACTTGGACCCCGTGGGCCAAGGAGGTGGTGTTTCACAATTGTCTATGGTATTAGCCCATGCACCGAACGGGAGGCGACGGCATGGCTGTACGTGTTGTTGCTTTTCAGCGGGAGTTGAGCCAAGATGCTCTGCAACTGATGGCAAGCTTCTTCCTCTCCACACAAGCCCCAGTCACTTGAGGCGCAGTGGCCAGG